TGCGTCGAAATTTGTATCTCGACATGTCGATATACGGGGTATATTGCCGTCGGTATCGCCTGTTATTAGGGTAGTCTATTTCCTTTGAGTACAGGCGGCAACGAGGTGACCTGAGGCACACATTCTGCATAATGCGTGGTCAAGACGGCCGTCTTATACCCAGTGACTACTTCGAGACAGAAATAACCACGAATTCAAGAGGTCATCCATTGAAACTACGTGTGGCACTGGCCAGGCTGAGGAACCAAAGGTACCTCTCCTGCAACAAAGTGGTTGAAGTTTGGAATGGTGTTTACCTGGATGTTGCTTTACGAAGAAGCGGGATCAGTATGGCAGTGCCTGCCATAACACCATTCGACCTCTATTGTTTTACCACATGCTAAAGAAAGGCTTATTCTTATAGTATTACTTTCTTCAGTTGATGCAATTGTGAAAATGACTCGCGGTCTCGGTGGGAGTCGAAACCACAGCGCGGGGAAGGCTGATGCGCAGCCAACGTTCTGCCACTGAGCTTCGAGGCTCACCATGAATTTAATCACACTTAGGTCCATTTTACCTGCCTAACTTACTGCTTGTATGGGATCCATTATTGCGGATACAGTACGCTGACTGCCCAGGCAGGATTTCCTAAGACAACATCTAGAATCCGCCAGAATGACTACTAGGTTCCCTTAATTAGTCGAAGGGTTTGGGCACCGAGTCCGGGAGTTTTTTTCACACTTGGTACAACTGACTTATTCAAATTAGCGCAACTCTCATAATAAGTATTACCTTCTATTTTTAAGTAATATTTAATAATTAAATTCTTTACTGTGTCAAATTCATCACTTTTACATGCTAACAGGAACGTTTGGATTCGCAGACACTTACGAATGTACGCATTTATCTTTTGAATTTATGACTCAAACCAACTTCTGTAGATCACATGAAAGAATGTATGTATATCTGCCTGTACCGCGAACACTAGAGATCTTACGTTTATCTGTACATATTTGGCACTTCTTCGTAATTTTGTAATTTTACTTTTTTTCTCATTTTTTATATGAATACCTCGCTTGTAAACAAATGAGGAGTTAAAAGTGTACGTATACATTTCCCTAAAATAAAATGAACTAACGTGAAGTGAACACACCGACTCCGAGGGAAAGCATTACCGATTACCTCGATAAGTTTCAGACTCTGCTGAACGATGTGCTCCGACCAAAAGAGATAGTGACAGTTCGTGCAGCATTTAGGATAGGCATAAAGGTTAGTGAACAGGAAACTGTGCGACCTCGACCAATAAAGATGGTTTTCGATAACAAATAGAAGGCTCAGTTGGTTTTGTCCCGGAAAACCAACTTGCGTCACTTCCACTAAGCGTTTTTTTCAGCCTGAATACTTTCCAGCGGAGTATCTGAAACGCCGCAAATTGGTGGTAGAACTGAAACGGAGGCTAGCAGCTGGAGAGAGCAATTTTGATATCTTTAGGGGACGAGTAATACAGAAAAACAAGACATTGCGCCGGGAGCAGCCAGTGCTCGGTTGCGGGACTCATTTGTCCTCTTCCGCCTTGGGGTTCACTCTCGAGTCCCACCAACAGCCGCCAAGCGTAGTATTATAGGCAGCTGGAGAGTCCCATAACCGATCGGTGTATGTGCACAAACCAGTTTTAATGTTCCCGATCTGAATTGGCTGGACAAAGGGCCAGTGACGCAGTGGATTAGAATGCTGAAATTCTAATCATCAGGTCGCGCGTTCAAGTGTCTGTTAGTGCACCACCTGGGGTTGGACGTGACAGGATGATGATGGCTAAATCGCTAGAAACGGCCACTCCAAGGGAAAATATTGCGCTTGATGACACATTGCAGGCTGGAGAACATGGCGCGAGCAGCTGGCGACTCACGCGGTCGTCACCTCTTGCGAGAATTTTAGCCTCTTTCTCCTTGAAGGTGTAGCCATTTATCGTGGAGTGGCCACAACTCGAGAGTTTGCCCCGTTGTAGTTCGGCCGAAGTAGTTATGCTGCTTCTTTCGTAATTAAGCCGGCTTCGGTAAATTACTTTTTCCGGGGAAGCTGGTCCTTCAACTTTACCACCTAGCGTCTGACAAGTGATCCCGCTCTGACTGCGGATCGACTCTAATATCTCGACCATACGGAAGGGTTAGAAGTCAGCTCTATTGAACGGGTCTTTACAGTTTATTTCCGCTTATTTATGGATATTTTTCGCATAGTATAGCTAAAAGATATTCACGGATTATTTATTTTTGTAATTTAATATTATTTGATGACAAAAGAAAGTTTCACAGCTTTTCAAATAATAATACTAAGATAAGTGCTGCAAAGTACAAATCAAAACCTTTTATAGTTTAAGAACGTAAGACATAGACATGTTCGCGTGTAATAATGGACCATTTCTTTTTCAAGGTAGCGCTGGGGATGACACCAAGATAACATTAAGCTGTTTTAAGATGAAAGATTAAGGTGTATCTAATATAATGAACCGTAAAATATGCAGTTATAAGCGTGTTTGGAGGCCTTAACTACTCACGAATTTAACCTTATTGCAGCTATCAATAAACACTTAACCTCATAAATTCTAAGGATGGACCTACATTTCCACAGCCCCTGAGTTGTTTAAGTTGTGAGCTAGTATGATGACAGATGGTCTGCGAGTCTGTAGGTCTCAGATAAAATGGGGGTAGGCAGTTAACGAAACTTATTCTTCAGTACGCTGTCAATTAGTTCTCGCTGGTTATGGGCTTGCTCAGTTACCCTCCAACTCGTATTATTTATGATTAAAAAAGGCCTGTAAAAGTACTCTCCAAGGTAGTTAAATAATCAAAACTGACTACAGCATTAAGGCTACTGAACAAGGCAAATGATTTATCAACCATGTTAATCCGATTACTGCTTTTGAAGGCGAGAACTCAAACGACCACTTGTGCAGTACCATCACCCATTTCGTGAGAATAATCCGCCACTTATGACAGCTAACCTGTTTAGGCAGGCATAACTGAAAGTGGAGGATTGCATTAAATTTAATAAATAAAATAATTCGATTGAGGTTACTGAGAAAGCTATGACTGTACGTTTCCCGATGAAAGTGTCTCAGTGTCTGTATATTCTTTTGAGAGAGCGGATTGAGAGCTTTTAGTTTACGTTGTGCAACACTATATTGCCATTACAATTTTTTGTCGGTTAGGACACATTAGTGTACAGGAAAAATACTCAAAAGAAGATTACTTATGCAGGGACTAGCTACCAGGAAATTTTAAGATATTCCAAAAGGACAGATTGACTGCCAGGTTCAAAGGAGGCCCATCCTGCTCAGTTATGACTCGCAGAAACTAGCAGAACCATTTAAATTATAAGTAGAAGTACGGGGCAGAAAAAGTCATGCAAACAAAGGTCTCCTATGCAACACCCTTTACTGAGCTAGAATGCGAGCGGATACGCAAAGTGACTTTCATTTGCGAACAGTATTTTATCATTTATAGACTACTCCGTTCTAGACACAATGAAACACGGACAATTTCCTGAGTGCCATGTTAATGGCGGCAGGACAATCAAGCATTTGACAGAGATCGAAACCCTTTCAGCACTAGGCTCTCCAGTCCCCTCCATGCCCCGCGGGGTACGAGGGGGATTTGGCAGGGATAGGGGAGGCACAAACGGGATATTGTGGGGCAGTTCATTGGTGTGGCCCCCTCGTTCCCCTTCACTGAAAAAACAATGCGCAGGGGGACATTGATTTTCGCGACACTGGTAACCTGGCCGTAAGAATCCTTCGCTATACCCACTGTCGCATAAGGTTGAACACGATAGGCTGATTAAGGATGGTCAATAATTTACTGATAGGAAAAATAAATTGGAAAATGTGTACAGTAAATAATATCGTTCGTCATCCGATGGCACAGTTCATGGAAAGCATAGCGTTTGCCATCCATAGCTGGTTCCTACAATATTAGAAATCTGTTGGTTAGTAAAGTAAACAGGTGGTAGAGGAGTTTAAATAAATCGGTATTAAAAAGGGTCACGTAAGTAATATAAAGATACAGATACGAAATGTTCAAACATTTATATTCAAGCCCATATATATACGGACAAACTACTACCATAATCACATTGTCCCTGTGGTGCAGTTCCCGACTCTTCGAACGTAAGTAGACGAACCATCGCTTTCGCCATATGCAGCCACATTACTCCAAAATCGATTGGGCAAAACAGGTTGGGGGTCCATCCAGAATCTTATCGGGAGATAAGGAAAAATTACGCATACAAGGGACTTAAAAGAACATTGGTACTATGTATATGCAAAGAATACAAACAAGGCTCGTTAAAAGTCGAATGCAATTACCTATTGTATCCAGAGCACAGAATGTATGTGACATTGGTTCATTCCACCAATGTGCGGCTTGACAAAAAGTCACCTGCTATCAGTTGCACTCATATGACCTGAGGTGCCTGAGATATCCTTGTTATACTGTCACTGCGAGTGCGGGTTGTTGCGTACATTGTACCAGAAAGCAATGAAGTTGGACTTCTGTCATTCGTTCCAATACTTTGGCAATCACAACAATTATAACGTAAAAAAAGGAGCTTTAACTCCCTACAAAAGTTATATACTCTCTAGTATACTTAGTTTCTTCAAAAGTACCTAAAATTAAGATATTAAACACATAAGTTTACCAACCTTCCTAAAAACATCAAAACGGCTTGGTTTACCTACCAGAATATAAACTACGTCCCACCTTTGAGGGTAAAGGCGGAACCAACCAACCGACCAGCGCCGGCTAAGTATTTGAGCGCATTTAAACAAAGTTGTTTAGTAAATTTACTCATTTTACCCTAAAAGAAAAATGAATTCATAAACTATTGTATACTCAGCGTTACTTTACTTCAATTATCATTCAAATACACGCATATATGGTCTATAACCACGCACAGCAGAAGAATCACGTCCTTGCCTTTGACAAAGCAAGGGTCCTTGTCCGAGACAATAACAAAATGGCTAGATTGCTGCTAGAAAGTTGCTCTTTGACTGGTACACTCAAGAGAGCCATGAACTTCCATCTCGCCTACCGGGCGTTGCGCACAAGGCTCGAGTCAGTTCGAACAAGGCCAACAGGAAAGCAAAATAAACTCGAATGTGGAATAGAACCAGCTTCG